ATATATATATATACACACACACACATACATTCATTATATTTTGACAAAATGCAGTTTTTGAACACGTTTAAATCAAAACACTATGTCTGCCTATTTCTCCACCTTTCAGTTTTGGACTTAATCCTCGTTTCAATGTGATGGGTCACAATTTATTAATAACACCAACAGTGTTCTGAATGTTTAACACCGAGTCAATAATAGAAAAAAAAACAGTAACTTATAAGCTAACAATAGTTTGACTGATTGTTACCAGTATGTATGTTGCTTAGATCACTGTATAAACCAAAAGATAATTGTCTAGTGGTTGATTATTTAGTTTACACATGAAGTAAAAAGAAATGGGACAAATTACCAGTTTTAGCAGCTTCATTAACTTATCTTTGAACAATCTAAGGCTGTATTTACAGTGACACAACACAAGTTACCATATTTACTGCTGCATAAACCTATTTGTAACAAGTATCAAGAGTGTAAAATTAATAAAATTTAGCGTGTTAATGAAATTCTGTTCGGGTTGTATCATACAAAATAATACTTTGTTTCCTTTTTTTAACCAGAGACTGTATTTTATTTGTCCTGTCGATGAATTAGAAGAAAATGCCAGTATTATATTAACAATCATCATTTTGACCTTTGACCCTTTTGATGTCGAAATCTAATCAGACAGTACTACCCTAATGGAGTTATGATGCCTGTTTATCAGTAAATATGTAATTTCAATCAGGAGCTATCCTGCACAGGAGCACCTGTGATGGACGGACACCGCACTAACACAGACAGAGAACAGTGTGTCTCTGGTCCCAGTGGGCGGAGTCATAATAAATAAAAAGTAAAGCAGAACAGGAATGAGACAGACATTGTCCAACCCCAGACTATCAGACAGTCATTTGAACAAAGTTTTATTTGTAAGACATAGCAAGGCCACCAGTCTGCTAACATGAGCACCAGGGTTATTATTATTGTTAACTAAGACTAACTAAATAACAAAAACTGAAATTGAAAAAACATTTTAGTAAACTAAAATAAATAAAAACTGTAACAAAATAAAAAATGATAACTTATTAAAATTGTATAATCCTTTTACAAAACTAACTAAAACTGAAATTATAGATAGAATATCCTTAGTTTTAGTGTTTGTCAATTTAGTTTGAGACATGTAGATCTTTTTATTTATTTATTTCAAATCAAGTAGTTTCACATTAGCTGTGGTTTGTAACAACACTTGTTTACAGTCTGCTGCTCAGCATCGTCTGCTAAATGATGACAACAAAAGTTGGGAGAAAGCGGCAAAGTCCACTTTGGGATTTCTTTGAATATGACTGTGAGAAAAATCACAAAAATCTTGTAGTGGAAACAGGAGATAAAATAGTTGGAATATTTCTCAAGGGAAAAACTGCATGAATCAAGCTCAAACAAGATGGCTAACTATGACTATCTTGACACGCTAGCTTCTCTCAGTAGCTCCTGTGAAAAACAAACAGGTAGCACCGGGTTGGAGAGGACTATTGTCATTGTCCTAAAATAATCAACCAAGTCCTTTGTTTGCAAATGAGTTACAGAATTAGGAAAGTGTTGCTATAATGGACTGCTTTAACTAGTGACCAAATAACTGTTGGTTAGTTACTGTATTTATTCATGTATAATACAATCTCATGTATAATATGATCTCATGTATAATATGATCTCATGTATAATACGATCTCTTGTATAATATGATCTCATGTATAAGATCTCATGTATAATACGATCTCATGTATAATACGATCTCTTGTATAATATGATCTCATGTATAATATGATCTCATGTATAATACGATCTCTTGTATGATATGATCTCATGTATAATACGATCTCTTGTATAATACGATCTCTTGTATAATATGATCTCATGTATAATACGACGCCCCTGTTTTTGAGCTTAAAAAGCATAAAAATTTTAATCCTCAAACTACCTCCAGTTTCATACAGACTTCAAGATTTTTCAGCCTTTGCAGTCTTTATACATATCAGTAAAATGATCATTGGACTGTTCATTTTATTTTAACAACATATGTACTAAAAGGTATTTTGACAACAAATATATATCAGCTGTAGCAGCATCATATGAATTCAGGCATTTTACACATAGTCCACCAGGAGGCGCCAACACAAAAGTCAGAGACTTCACATGAGATTTGGGCCATCTTGTGGGGGAAAAGCAGATKAMTTCCTACTCGCGAGCGCCCCCTCTGGTGGGGAAACATTTTTTCAGGGATACAAAATTTTTCAGAACACCGGTAGACGGCAGCCATTACAGACGAACATGTGTTTGTTGTTTGAGGAGAGGCTCGGTCACACACTAATGTCATTAGTTCGTTATCATTACTAAGGTGCAGGAATACTTTTTTCCTCCTTTTTCCACATCATGTCACCTGCCTGGATCTGTTATTATCTTGCTCTGCAGCACGGAGGAGTGTCAGAAGTAAGCTCGATTCAACTGCTTTTTACGTCGTGGTCTCATTTCATTTCAGAAGCCGATATTTCATTTAAAGGCACAGTGTGTAGGATTTGTTGCTTTCAGCGACATCTAGTGGTTGATTGGTTGAATCATCCTCCCTGGTCCTCCCCCCACCCCCTGTCCCCGCTCCCAAACACAAAGGAGTTGCTACGGTGTCTCTCAGGGGTCAAAAACCTTTGATAACTCCAACCGTGATGTCTTCCAGCAGCTTCAGGGCTAGTGATGTTTCAAGTGGTAAGATTATGAGCTTTAATAAGTAAAATTATACCAGCTATGTTTACATGCAAAAAAATTTTAATCGGACTGAAATGTATTCAGATTAAATAATCTGACTGTACTGTTTACATGGACACAATCCGATCATGAAAAGTGTTTACATGCACCGGAGTTTTATTCAGAATAAAAGTCCGGACATGTGCAGTGTTGTAAACTGTCAGCTTTACTTCTGTGTTACAAACGTAAACAACGCTCCTCTGTGCGCTCAGGACGGACCCGTGTCAGCTTTTAATAACGGTAGAGATGYCGTTACTCCTCGGTTGAGCTGCAGCCTGCAGATGAAGAAATATGTGCTTTTTATTTTTTACGAAGCAACGTCTGCTGTTTGCCTCCATTTTCATCTGTTAAGAGAGCGAGGAGGAAAAGTTCTGCGCGGTGCTGCGCAGCTGGAGCGCTGCTGTCCCACCGGGTGAATGAAAGTCAGCAGACATGCGCACAGGTCAGTTTTCTACAATCAGAATAAGATGATCAGATTAAGTGTTTACATGAACCTCATTCCGATTATCAATCGGCATAACCCACCCTTCATTCGGATTAAAAATTAATTCGGATCGAGCTCAATCGGAACGGGCTGTTTACATGATGTATTTTTATTCCGAACGGCCGTTTAATCCGTTTAATTTACTTTTGTCCATGTAAACGTAGCTACCGACAGTCAACAAATATTACATTTATAGTATTACAACTAAAACCGTTTTTGACGCCGCCACCGCAGTTTGTCCTTCATGAGCCTTTGTAGACAAGATGGCAGCTGCGTGTACTGGCGACCTGCGACCATGGAGATATAAACAGCTTTTTATAAGGTAAAAATAATAAAACAAGGTCTTTGTCTGCAATGATTAGACGTGTTTTTATTATTGTCATTGGTGATTATCTCAATTTTGGCTAAAATAATTGACAAAATCCTACACACTGTGCCTTTAAAATACATAAGTAAAAATATTTGTCAGAGTTTAGTACTACCCTCCAACTTTATGGACGATTTTATGGATTTAATTTTACGTATTATACTTGAATAAATATGGTAACTCACAGGAACATCACAAACTGGAGGATGCATTGGTAAATAAGATATAAAATAACTAATACTCGAACTAATAAAAACTAAACTAAACTAAAACTAAGCATTAAAAATGCAATAATTAATAAAAACTAGCAAATCCACTGTAAAAACAAATTAAAACTGAATTAAAATAAAAAAAGTCACAACGAAATAAAACTAAAGTATAATGAAAAATCCCAAACTATTATAACCTTGATAAGCACGATGCAGGACAGTTTAGTTTCAGCTAATGAGGACATCTCAGAGAGCCCGCATCTTATCAGTGAGTCTGATTTTTCTACAACAGTAACAAACATTGTTCTCTTCAGGAGATGAGCCGAAGTGGGACATTAGCAGATTTTGGACAGGGAGGTGAGTGAGTCCCCCCTGTGCTCCATGTGACTGTGATGTTTGATGTCTGTTAAGAGGAAGCTAATTGTCTAACTCCTCCTCCTCTGTAGTGCGGTCAGTAAAAGCAATTATGGTGACGGTTTTCAACTACTTGGTGACCATCGTTGCTGCTTTTGCCTGCTCCTACATGGGAAGTCAGTATTTGTTCACTGAGACTACATCGGTAAGGGAACTTTTAATCTTTAAATTTCTAATTGCATATAATCTATTAGATTTTATCTCCTATTTACAAATATCTCTGCAAAGGTTTAGTTCTGCAGAACTAAAAGTAGTCAAACAGCCCATAAATGGAAATGAAGGGCCTTTTCTACAGCATTAGCATGAAAACTCTCAAAAAACACCTTTTTTAAAAACAATTTTGTATTACTTTTCAATATTTGCCAATATTTATTTTTATGTCTTTATCATATTTTGTTGTATAAGTATGGTAATATGAAAAAATGATTTTGGGACTTTGATGCAAACCTGATCAAACCTTTCCACCTTCTGCTTTATAAATAACTTGACCATGTGGCCAAATTAAATAACATCTCTCAACCAAATTCAAAAGTAAACTATTTATCAAGTACTTAAACTTTATCTAAACTCTTGCGTGTATAAAACAAAATAAATTGTAATTTAAAGACTGTTCTAGGTCAGTAAATGAACCTAATTTTAAAGGGATCCCGATTAGTTGTAACATTAGACTTTATTTAATAAACATATATTTTAACTGTAAAATAAAGACTGTAAA